AATTGGCAGCTTTATTATATTAAGTTTTCCAAACATGAACACAGTATATCATCATTTATTTAGATCTTGTTTGATTTTTTCTTTCAGAATTTTTTCATTTTGAGCATTGAAATTCTGTGCATGTTTTCTTAGATTTATACCGAAATACTTTATCTCATGTTGAACTATTACATTCTTTTTAAGTTTTGATTTCAGTGTGTTAATTGCTAGTATACACATATACAATTGATTTTTCTACTTCAATTTTGTATCCTGCAACTTTGCTGAACTCACTTACTAGTTCTAGAATTTTTTTGTAGATCTATTGAGATTTTCTATGTAGACATCATGTCATCTGCAAGTAACAGTTTTATTTCTTCCTTTCTGAAATATATTCCTTTTACTTCACTTTCTTGTCTCTTTGTTCTGGCTGAACTCCCGGCATTATGTTGGACAGCAGTTGCTCTGTCCCGATGTCAGGAGGAAAGCGTTCAGTCTTTCATCACTGGGCACAGTGCTAGCTGTGGGGTTTTGTGTAGATACCTTTTATGAAGTTGAAGAAGTTTCCTTCTTCCTTTACTTTGTTGAAAGTTCTTTTATAAATCATAAATGTTGTTGGATTTTCCCAATGTTTTATTTTTTTTGCATGAATTGAGATGAACATGTTTATATGAAAATCACTAGAACAATTCTCATTTGGCCATAGTGTACAATCTTTTTTATGTATTGCTGAATTTGTGTTGGGAATATGTTGTGACTATGATTAGACTGGATATTATTTTAATTTTTTCTAGTTATATCTGTTCTGGCTTTGGTATGAGCACCTCATTAAAGAGGTGCAGAGTGTCCCGCCTCATTTTCCTGAAATATTTGTGATGTAAGTAGTCATCCCCCCTTATCCATGGGATATATAATCCAAGACCCTGCAGTGGATGCCTGAAACTGTAGATAGTACCAAACCATATATATGATCTATGTTTTTCTATACATACATACATACCTTTTCACTTAAAGGATGCACTTTGTGGCTCCTCTTTTGCATATCTGAGTTGCCAACATCACTACTCTTGTGCTTTGGGGCCATTATTAAGTAAAATAAGAGTTACTTGAACACAAGCATTATGACACCACAAGAGCTGATCTATCACTGAGATGGTACTAAGTGCTTAATGGTCAGATAGTTCATACAGCATGGATGTGCTGGACAGGGAGATGCTACACATCCTGTGTGGAGTGGAGCAGGATGGTGCACAATTTAAAACTAATGAATTGTTTATTTCTGAAATTTTTTATTTAACATTTTCAGTCTGTGGTTGACTGCAGGCAATTAAAACTGTGGAGAGCATAACTGCCAATAAGAGGGAACATGTATTATTATTACTTCTTTAAATAGTTGATAAAATTCACCAGTTATGCCGTCTGGGCCATGCTTTTCTTTGTGGAATATTTTTTATTCCTAATTAAACTACTTTCCTTGTTATAGACCTCTTCAGATATTCTATTTCTTCTTGCGTCAGTTTTGGTAAGGTCAGTTATGAAGTCCACATTTTCATTTCTGTTTTTGGTGATTTGTGTCTTATCTCTTATTTTCTTAAATAAGAAATATAGCTAATGGTTTGTCAATTTTGTTGGTCTTTTCCTAGAATCAACTTTTGATTTCATTGATTACTTCTATTGATTTGTTTTCTATGCCATTGATTTCTGCTTTTGACCTTTATTATGTCTCTTTCTATTTGCTTTATCTTGTTCTTTTTCTAGTTTCTCGTGGTGGATGCTTGAATTGTTGGGTCAAGAAACCTTTTCTCTTTTTTGACATGGACATAAAGGCAATAAGTTCTCCTCTAAACACTGCTTTTACTGAATCCCCTATATTTTGATTTGCTGTGATTTTGTTTTGAGTTTAATATTTTAGATTTTTAAACTCATATCTTCTTTGGCCCATGGCTTAGATATCTGTAGTTTAACTTCCTTGAGGTTTTCACATATTTCTTTAAATTATTGATCACTTTTAATTCCGTTGTGGTAAAAGAACATACTTTGAAAAATTTCTCTTTTCAGCTTAGTGAGACTTGTTTCAGATCTCAACATATGGCCGATGCTGGGGAATGCTCCATGCATTCGTGAATATGTATTGTGTGGTCAGTGTGTGTTCTATAAATGTTACTTAAGTCAAGTTGGTTGATAGTGTTGTTAAAATCTTTTTTATTTGCTTCCTGGTTGTTTCTTCAATTATTGAGAGTAGTGTACTGAAATTTCCAACGGTTATTTTTAAATCGTATATTTCTCCTTTCAATTCTGTCACGTTTTGCTTCATGTAATTGCGGACTCCGTTAAGTGTTGTGAAAATTAATAAACAAACTGAAAGGGTTAAAGAGACTAAAACGGGGCAGAGAAAGACTCGTGCTTAGCAGATGCCTCGCAGGAAGCTTGCAGCCTTGAGCACAGACAGCTCGGGTCCCAGAAGGCACCGCATGGGCGGAACCGAGGAGCCAGCAGAGGGCTCGCAGCCGGCAGGGCTGAACAGACTCTCTCCGACGCCTTTCTCGGTCGCAGCCCCCTGCACCCAGGTGTCGGGAATAAACTCTTTTTCGATACATTATGGCCTCGTGTCATAGGTGCGCGACCCGGCCCACTCCGGACCTTTCATTTGGTGCCGAAACCTGGGACGGTCTAGCGAGGGGCTCCAGCAACCGGCCCTGCGCACCCGGAGGCCTGAGCTCCCTGCTGTCCCGGAGCCCCGCCCCCGCTGGGGCTTCTGCTG